ATTGAGTTACCATAATGGGTATTTATAGTACTTAATAGGGTTTCCCCAATATAGTAATTTGAACTAGGTTGCCCCAATGGGTAACTATAGTAATTGATAGGGTTTCCCCAATGTGTCAACTCAACTCTTGTTCCTTAACAGCAAGACAGCAGAGGGTCACATCTTCAGTGCCAGACACTCAGCACGTGGACTGCGACGGTTGTGTTTCCGTTCAACTTCAGTGTCATCATGGTAAAGGTAAAGCGCAAGCCTTCTTGCTAGGATACAATGAACCTGTTGCACGTAAGCACGGAACTCAACATCATGGCCCACATGTATTGGAACGCTGAAAGCCCCTAAGGCCCCGAATGCTAAAAAACGTGATATGTCGCTACATCTCCATATGTATCTCCATATATCCCTCTAAATCCCTATATCTCCCTGCATCTCTCTATATCTCCCTATATCATCCTAACCCCTAACCCTAAACCCTAAAACCCTCAACCCTACACCCTAAAACCCTAAACCTCTGCGAGGTCTCCCGATACTGAGGTGAGGACGAGAAGAAGAGTGCTGTCTGGCCATGCTGGTCTGCTGCATTCGCATCCTGGGCTGATGTTCAGGGTCTATGGTTTCGAGTGTAGGGTTTAGGGTTTCGGGCTTAGGGTTTAGGGTTCTGAAACACAATCCCATGAATTGAGGGGGTTGTAGAGATTCTACAGAGATTAAATGTTGTTATAAAATGTGTGTATACTTACCCTAATATGCGTATGTCGTAAATACGAACTCTTTTAACTTAGTTGAAATTCCTCAGCCCTAAACCCCTAAACCCTAAACCCGAAAACCCTAAACCCCTAAACCCTAAACCCTAAAGCAGCCCAGCATCCGCTTTGGCTTGCAGAAGCGTCCGGCACATGTCCGCGAGCCCGTCGAAGGATGCTGTATGCAGCACACACCTGGGTTGCTGTGTGGGTTCAGTTACCATGAGACTATAGCTCATATAGGGTTTTGGGATGTTTAGGGATTAGGAATTAGGGAGTAAGTTTAGGGCTACTATAATGAGGAGATCCTATTATTTACCATACCCATATGGATTAGGGTTTAGGGCTTAGGCTTTAAAGTCTAGGGAGTAGGGTTTAGGGCTACTACAATGAGGAAACCTTTTCTTTACCATATACCCACAATAACTATGGTAACTTAACTTTAAGTTCCTTAACAGCCCTAAACCCTAAACCCTAAACCCTTACCCCTAAACCCTAAGCCACCTAGACACACGCCTTTTGCGTCCTTCTCGTTGGGATTCGCCCTGGCCTCTACCAGCAGCTGAGCCATCCCAGGGCTCTTGGCCTGCACCGCAGCCCGCAGCGGCGTCTCAGGGCCCTCCCATGTGTGCGGCAAAGCCTGGGGGGTTTAGGGTTTAGGGTTTATAGGGTTGCTGTTAAGGAACTTATCCTAAGTTACCATATTATAGGTAATTCTATGGTATATGGTAGAGTTTGCTTATGGTAGTGACTTAATCTACGTTCCTTAACAGCAACCCAGAAGCTCCATCTCTCAGAGCCCTGGAGACGGCGCCCAGCGCCACAGCTCGCTTTTCCTTGGACGTGGAGGGCTCCAGCAGTGGCTGCGCTGCATGGTACAAGTTGGGAGGAGCACTGGGCCGGGACCGCCGCATGGGGGATCCGCTCGAGGCCCTCCGAGTGGATCCTGAGCCTCTTGGTGTGGCCTCCTTCGAAGCAGACTGTGACATCTGCCGCCCAGGGCTGCTGCCCCGCGGCGTGGCAGCCTTGCCAATGACTCTCCGCTCCCCACGCTCCCCGCGCTCCCCGCGCTCAGTGTGCTCACTGCCTCCCCAAGCACCGAAGGCCCCGCCGCTGGCATCGAGCGTTTCGGGCTTGTGGGTCTCAGCTTTGGCCCGTGCCTTGGCACAAGTCTTCTTGCGGACGGCACCTATGCTGCCATTGCTGCTGGATCGACGGATGCTGGAGGCAATGCTGCTGCCCGAACATTCGCTTCCAGCAGATGTGCTGCACGCGCTGCTTGAGCCAGCTGGCTCAGCCTTGGCTGCAGAGGACGTTGTGGCCGACGCCTGAGTGTGCCGTACCGGGTATCCTCCGGAAGGGCCAGGCCTCTTCCCAGAAGGAGCGGTAGAAGCGCTCTGTGGGGTCAGCTTTGCCAGGACGTCGTCTGCCGAAGCAGTTGGGGAATCCGCGGGACTGACTTCAGGTTTGCTATCAGCTTTGTCCCAAAGACCTGCAGAGGATAATACAGAACGCAAAGCCTTGGTCTCCTGCTGAAGTGCTTCATACTCTTGCCGCAGGGACTTCAGCTGCAGCCCATGGTCCGTCACGATCCTGGGCTGCTGTTAAGGAACTTAAATCAGGATTCTTCAGTAATAAGAAACCTCTACTATTTACTATATGCCCATATGCGGGCAACTCAAACCCCAAACACTACACCCTATATACCCATATTATGGTAACTCAATTTATAGTCCCCCTTAAGTAGACAGAATATGGCTTTGGGTATGTTATAATAAGATCCCCATATACCCCATATTCTATCTACATAAGGGGGACTATAACCCTAACCCTAAACCCTAAACCCTAAACCTTAAACCCCAAACCCTAAACCCTAAAACCCTAAACGGCATCCCAGGATCTCCAGCACTCGGCTCAAGGAAGGCACGGATGGCTCTGGGGCCGGGCGTGGCCTTCGCACAGGAGTGGTATTCCGCACATCCCGGCCGAAGGACATGGCGGAAGGGAGGGGCCAAAGACGTGCCTTCCCACTTACCTTACTATTTCTTAGTAGGGAGTATGGGGATATGTTGGGGTGATATAGGGTTAATGGCCAAGAAAATGCAAACTACTATATTATAACAGGATATATTTTGGGGCCATTGTGGGGAACATGGGAATATGTTACATAGGTAGGGTTTATAGAGGGATTATATTATCTTTTTCCCTACTACGAACCGGTAAGTTGCTGGGCGGATCGCTGAGGTCTAGCTTCAGAATTCGCGTGTCCTTCGTGTTTGCCCCCTCTCTGTTCGTGCAAACTTGTGGTTGGGCTGCAGAGGCTACAGACAGATCAGCCCCAGCATGCAGAATCGGGTGTAGGGTGTAGGGCATAATCCCCATATAAAACCTAGCTATATAATACCTCCCCATATTCCCCACTATAGCCCCAATATATAGGGACTGTACAGGAATTCTGGAAGGGTCCTGTTGGGGGTTATGTAGGGGTTATGACATCATCGGACAACATGGCTGGGCCACTTCCTGGAAAATAGCAATAATAGTACTAGTATTAAGATACAAATTAAAAGTAATATGTAATGATATAAAAGAATAGTAATAGCAATAATAGTAAAATATAGTAATGACATATAATACTCGTAATGTATATACATATATATATATATTAATATATGACAATAGTGGTGATAAAATGATAATTATCAATAGCAATACATAAGGAATCTAAAATGTCATGGAGATGCCACATTGCAGCGGATCGTAAAAGAGCTACTCAAGGATATCCTTCCTCCATTCCCTACTCGCAACCAGTAACTACAAAGGCAAGGGAAAAAGCTGTGAAGCTGCACACAATCGGCATTTGGCTGCAGGGTCACCTCTCACATGAAGCAATCGCTACAATTGAAATTATGGAGATGCTGCCAAGAATAGCAGGACCTCGAAGGATCAAAGTTGCGACCTGGATGGTTGCAATCAGGACTTCAACCACTAATCCTTCTAGATGTACACGGTCCTGCCAGTTGGCAGACTCAGCTTCTGGCTAGCATTCAGGACCATGCCAGTTGCATCCAGGAACTCGCTCTCAGAAGCCATGTTGCAGGAGCTAGCTGAGCAACACTTGTCGGTCGTCTTCTCCAAGAGCCCGAGAGCAAGTTTGGGCAAGTACTTCTGGATCACTTCCCTCAAAGGTGGTATCTCAGTCATTCCCATGGCTGTCATCTGAAGCTTCTCATGCGCACTCAGATCATCTAACGACCTTGGCGGCTCAGAGTAGTAGGACCCGATGTCCACAAAAGGTCCGAAATGCCCTCCACCCTTCAGCATGATAGAATAGCACGCCTTCACATCGGTCTCACCACGCTCGGGCAAAAACAAGGTCTTGTTCATCTCTGCCAGCGTGTCGATCATCTGCGTCAGTTGCGTTTGGTACTTGGGATCCTTGGAGAGATCCTGGCTTTCCTGCGGGTCATCCTCAATGTTGAACAGGCACCCATGTCCGCAATCGCCTCTCCAATAATGATCATCTCCCAAGTCAATCTTCTCTTCCAAGACTCCGAAGTCAACGAAGTCTGGACCCCCCCCAGCCATGAAGTGACCCACAGTGCTACAATTTGGATAGAGCGGGCCAGTGTGGACCATGTAGGGCTGCTTGCCTGTCACAAGCTTGTAAGGGTAGGACAGGAGGGCATTTCCGGAAATGAACAAGGACTCGTTGGCACGGGGACCCGCTGCCCCTTGGAAGATAGCGTCAAGCTGCCCCTGCTTGCCGTCCACCGGTGCCAGCGTGGTGAGATTCCTGGTAGTTTCCCAAAATGTGGATCCCAACACAGACCCCCAACTAATTGTTTATAATCCTTGTTATAGGGACCCTAAAAAAGGTACCCCTACTGTATGTTTGAAACCCCCTCCTTGCTTTCAACCAAACATTGGCTGCCTCAGCCTGCGCATCATGAGGGTCAACTCCCGCAAGCTCTGAGAAGATGGTGTACCAATCTGCAACGGAGACAATGCCTGGGTTAAGGATTTAGGGTTTAGGATTTAGGGTTTAGGATTTAATGTTTTTGTGTGTTTTTTTTGTGAGACCTTTTCTCCACAGCCCATTCGGTCCTGTAGAAATGTTTTAAGGTTTAGGATTTAGGATTTGGGTTGCTGCTGAGGCAGACAAACCTAACTTACCATGACCATGATCAGGAAACCGTGTCATGAACACTTTGTGGCAACTTTATCTAATTTCCTTAACTCGATCTATACAGTTTCCGTTTACTTGTCCATGTTCTTCTCCACGTGATTCTCCGTTATCTTTTTGTGGCATGTGGTAACTTAATCTAAGCTCCCCAACAGCAACCCAGATGCCGTTGTGGACCCTGCCACGACTGGATGGAGGAATGAAGCCCCCCGAGATGAAGGTGTTGGTGCGCACGCCACCCTCAAAGTCAGAGTACCTGGGTTGTTGTCGGTTAAGTTAAATCATGTTAGAATGAAGAGACATTATTATGAATAATGTCGTTCCTCATAACTTTAACTTAAATTCAAATTCGTCAACGGCAACCCAGGTACTTTCCACCCCTCAGCGGGTAGTTGTTTGCCGACCCAGGCTCATAGATGGGGCCACCATTGTCCGTGGTAAAGACCAGCAGGGTGTTTTCCTGGGTGCAATGGAGAAGCAAATGGAACCTCAAATGGAAAATGAAATGATAACCGGGCTTCCACAGACTTACACAGGCATTCAGGCACAGTTTTCCGAAGACACCAGTGTTTGCCATATATGTATGCTACGGCAACTTGATTGTATGTCCTGGCAAACAAGTTTCCCACATGCCCTTGGACTTGAGAGCATCCGTGAGATTCTTGATGGTGTCATCTAGGTACATGGTCATTGCCATGAGCTTCCGGCGATTCTCCGAGTCGATCACCTGACCTCCCTGCTGTGCAACTATCTCAGCAATTTTGCTGTAGTAGAACTTTGGTATCTGCAAGGGCGTGTGCAGGAGATGGAAGGCATGAAACAGGAAGAGCGGATGGTCCACGTCAGACGCATTGTGCGCCTGGATGATCTGCAAAGAACGCTCCTCGAACATTTTCTCTTCGTAGCAGAATGGAGCTCGCTCGGTACTGTTCTTGCATGCGTCGGTGAGGTCTGCACCTCGGTATGGCCCACGGTACGTGTCGTTCTCAGTCATGATGTCATAGAAGGCATTCAAGCAGGATGTGATTTCACCGGTGGCTTGAATGCCTGTCTTCTTGTTCCAGTAATCATTGGCGTGTTGGTAGTAGAGAAAGCTTTGGTCAAAACCTCGACCACGAGGAGTGTGCTGTGGCGTCGCCATGCCTGCATGGCAAGGCTACTTCTTTGTTCTCGATATAATGATAGCAATAGTATTAATAAGAATAGCAATAATAGTAACAATAGTAATAATAATAATAGCAATAACGGTAATAACAATAGTGGCCACAATAATAGTATTCATAATATGTTCAACTAATAGCAGTGATAATGGCAATAGTAATAACAACAAGACTACTACTGGCAATAATAATCATAACCCTTTGCGATTTATTGCTTACGCAGCAGGCTTGGAGAACAAGAAAGCAGTGCGCGTTTTTGCCATGTATGCGGCCGCTCGCGCGCCCAATTCCTCCCGTGTAGGCAGCTGGCTGAAAAACTATGCGCACAGCGGGCGCATTTCCTGTGTAAGCATAAAAGGACTAGTATAACCATTACTATATAACTGCGATTATTACAGTTATGATTACTACTATTACTACTATTTGTATTATTATGATTATAACAATTGCTTCTATTGCCAATGTTTATTCAGAGCAAATGCGGAGCAAAACAGCTGCAACAAGGCACAGCTTCCTGCCTGCATCCCACTTCCCAGTGTAGTAGGTCTGGTAGCCACCTGAATAGCGTTTCTGGGGGGAGTTGCCAGGTAAAATACTACTCACCTGTCAATCTAGGGTCGGGACTCTGGGCCCTTACTGTTGATACTAAAATTCGACATGACCTTAATATATTATAATACCATGTTTCCCAACAGGTACTTTGGATATCATGCAGGATTGTTAACATCCGCCGTAGTATGGCTCTTAATCCTGGGGTGCGTATATACCTTGGTTTGTTAGGTGGACCCCCCAACTTGTAATGGTGGTATTATGGGAATGTAAGAGGACCGACCCTAATCTAATCACATCCCTGATAGTCACCATTACTGGGTGGGGGGCAATCCCTACACCAAACCCTAATCCCTAAACCCTAAACCCTAAATCCCAAATCCAACACCGAATCCTGCTCCCCAAGCCCTAAGCCCTAATCCCTAAACCCTCTTCCCTAAACCCTAAGCCTAAACAGGCAGGTTGGGCTCAAATTAGGGGCCTATGGTTAGGACATGTTAGGACCTTGGAACCCTAAACCCTAATCCCCGACAATAAAACCCTAATCCCTAAAGCCTGAACCCTAATCCCTACACCCTGAACCCTAATCCCAAAGCCCTAAACCCTAATCCCTAAACCCGAAAACAAATTTCAACAGCATGGATTCAAAAATCAGCTGGGTTCCGAGCCTTCCTTCACTTTGGCCCCCATACCTGCTTTAGGGCTCAAGGTTTAGGGCTTAGGGCATAGGGCTTAGGGTTTAGGGTTTAGGGTTTAGGGTCTAGGGCCTAGGGTTTAAAGTCTACAGTTTAGGGTTTAAGATTTAAGACTCAGGGTTTAGGGTTTAAGGTTTGGGGTTTAGGGCTGAGGGTTTAGCGGTTTAAGGTTTAGGGCTTAAGGTGTGGTCACGGCATAAGGTGCTCGTTGGTGTGGGACACACCCAGGCCGCTCGCACCGGTGCGTAGCAGTCAGCCCCCCGCCCCATGACCACCCTGAGTTCAAGCAATTTAGGGTTTAGTTCCTAAAGTCGTATGGCATCCCGGCAGGGGCCAAGGCAACCCCGGTGCCGAGCAAAAAACGTGACGCACGAACAGCGAGCAAAAAAAAGGGCGACGAGGCCCGCCATTCAATGGGAGACCGGGCATGACGTGATGTACTTGAAGGCTCTGGCCTTCTGGAAGGCCGCTTCGCCGAATAGGTTGACACCCAAGGCCCAAGCAAGGAGGGTCAGCGGTTGCGACGGCGCACTGTTTGGTTACTTCAGAGGCAGGGTGGTGCAGCCGTGCCGTCAATGGCAATGGGTTAGTGATAACTTTCCATGAGGCTGTTTTGCGGACAGGTTACTATTCAAGCCACGTAAGACAGGTCAGCAGTCGCAATGTGATGTTGGGTTACTTCCGAGGTTGCATGGGACAGCCGCGCTCTCAATGGTGATGGTCAGTGTAGGCTTTCTGTGAGGCTGTTTTGTTGGATAGGTTACCATCCAAGCCACGTAAGCGACCGTCAGCAGTCGCGATGCGATGTTGGGCTGCAGCCGCGCCTTCAATGGTGATGGTCAGTGTTGGCTTTCTGTGAGGCTGTTGTGTCAGGGTGCCTCCGCGGCCGCTTGAAGAAAGCAGCTCTCGAGGTTGGCTTCAGACGTTGGGAAGGAACGAGACCAGCATGGCTCCGAAATTGGTCTGGGAGCACGTCTCCCAGACCGTTTTTGAACCTTTTAGAGCCTCTCAGACTGTTTCTAAGCATTTTCAAGCTTCTCCCAGACAGTTTCTGAGCAGTTTTCAAGCTTTTCCGAGACGTTTCTGAACTGAGCCGTTTCGAGCCCTCCCCAGACCGTTTCTGGGCGTTTTGGAACCTCTCCCAAAATTTTTCGAGCCCAGCTTTACCTGGGCTCCATGACGTTCTTTGACGCAGCGAAGCTCGGGCAGCTTCCTTCGGGCTCCGCCTGGCGGTTGTC